TAACAAGATTAAATTAAATTTACTTTCTATAAGAGTGCCAAAATGTGTTTACATTTTATGCTCTTCATAACCGCTTACTAAACGCCAGCCTGCGTGCGAATGTGTAAGCTCTCAAATAGAAGTAATTACTAGCGGGACAAAAACTCATTTGTTAGCTTTGTTTAGCACCAGAAGCATTGGTTCTGGTTTAACCGCTTAGATAGTATTTATATAGCTTCATAGCTGTATGCCCAGTGGTTCTAGGGTACCATAGGAAGCGAATGTGCCGACATACCGTCTCTGAACTCCCACGACACTGGCGTTAGCTCTGTTGGTGGCAGGAAAAATTACTAAATGTTGTAAATGTCACATTCACAGCCCCCAGGGGTATACCACCAACAGAGCAGAGAGCGAGCAAACTGAATGCCACATCCTTACTGCAACCGCATTACTGTCATGGCAGTCTGTGTGCGCTGCACTGCATGTGAAGAAAGAGAAGTTTGCAAAAAACTGAGGCACTGAGGCTTCTCGCCATGCCAGCTACGCTGAGCCATAGTGGCATTTGCTATTATTTTAATTTTTTCACTCCACGTAACTTTTGCATTGCTGCGCGGAAAAACCAGTCAAGCGCCCAAACCAAGCATCGAGAGTCGGGCGGCATCGGACAGTGGGGCAAACGCGAAATTTACTCTTCAAAAAAGTCGAAAGCCTACAATTCTTGAAGGATATTAAATTTTTAGTTAAGTAAAAAATTAATTTTTTTAACTGGAATTTATTAATATGGAACCGTACGCAATTTGAAAAAAATATATATATTTTTCAATTGAATTTCTGGTTAAGCCGGCAGTAACTGAAGGGTAATTCAATTCTTAAGAGCTTTAAGAAGCTACATTTAAAATTGTTATTTGTTTACGTAAAAAATTTTAGCAAAATGTGTTGAAAAAGGAGGACATTTGAAGAAAAGAAATTATCCCCCTTTCTATTAATGAATGTTAATAAAAACTAGTTAAAAACAATTGCAGTGTTCTCCTCAATCAAAAAAAAATTGCACAAGAAAAACTTCAAATGTTATAAAAAAATGCTCACCAATATTCATTTTCGTTGTTTTTTAATTTTTAGAAAAATTTTAAGTAGTGGTCCCCTAAAGTAGAAGCTTCAAGTGACCAAAAACTCACGTTGATTTTTAATACTTTTTTTTATATGGAAGGTACGGGAAAATTTGGGCGGGCCACACCCATTTATGGTCAAAAAAAATTATATTGGTGGATGCATTGTTCTTGCAAAATTTCTACATCCTACATGCATTCGTTGCATAGTTATAAATTTTGGTACGCTAAAATTGAAAAAGGGCACACTGTGCTTCGGCGGCTCGGACGCAAGCCGCACTCGCGTGTGACCACGTAGCATGAGGTCCCAGCACTTTGCACATTCGCATTTATAAAAAAAAATATATATTTAAGTGTGTGTGTGTACTTCCGTACCGTTATACCATAACGTATATACTCAATCAACGGCATCGGGTTTCGTTTGGTTTCTCTAGAGTTTAATTACTATGATTATGTCTGGGACATTGGATACATTTGTTGTATCTTGAGTACTGTTTGAATTGCCGGAATGATGGGTGGCGGGATTTAATGGGGGGCGTAGTGTTGACTGATGCTGCGAGTGGCAAGCAAATGTCAGTGGGTTTAACCCAACGCAGCGCACTTCTCATAGTCCTCTGTGTGGACGTAACGTTTCACCATTTTTTCTCGCCGCTACATTCGCCTTAGCTTAGCTTACCACAATTACAATTTTTGCTAGTGATGTAACTTAATTGCAGTCGAAAATGTTACCAAAAGTTTCATATTTAATTAATTTCCGAATATTTTCGTGTGTAATAAAGTGAAGGCAGCTTGTGGCTGCACATATGTATGTATATGCACATGCGTTTATTCAAAGCCACTCAGTTAACTTTTAATTATTGAGAATTAAGATATTTGAGTACAACGAAATGGAATGAAAATTCATAGCAAACTCTCAAAATACGGATTACAAACTTTTACTGGTTGGTATTTACTTATAGATTACTGAAGTTTCCTTTAGAGATTTTTCAAGTTTTATACATAAAAAATTGCGTGCAGTCGTTGGATAAGCTATGGTTAGTTGGTTAGTAGAAGCGCCCAGAAGGCTCTAATTGGTGCTGATATTAATCTAAATATTTATGTTAGTAATGAAGCATTTGGAATTCTTCTGAACATTTCGGGTGAAGAATCTTCCTTATGTGTGCCAATGCTGGGCACTCGGAAAAATAATATTGAACAGTTTCCTTACTCTCGTCTAAATTGCAGCTACTGCAGCAGCAGCGTGGGTTGTGCGAATGGCCATTTTGACAGCATTTTCACCAATGGGCCGATGTCCCATTATCGTGGCTGTTAATCTGACTATTTCTTATAAGTGACTACTGGTCATTTACGGTAGAAAAAGTTGTGCTACGATTTTGAAAATAAAATTTTTGTAATTGAAAAATCACATCTCAAAAGATTTCCCAATTCACTAGACGCCAAATGAAAGTGTACACCTTTTTCTATATGGTATTCACAATTATTTTCGTGGAAAATTATTTGCGTTAATTATTTATGAAAATATTGTTCATCGTATAATATAAACCACATAAATTAGAGCTTCACAGTTAATATAAAGTTCACAAAAATTCAAAAAATTGTATGAAAATTTTTAACTTTTTATTCAGAATTTCTAGAGAATTTTCGAGTATGCAGTCCTATTCAATTTTCGATTAATGAAGTGCAAGTTTCAACCGGCTCAAAAATCGTGTTGATTGTTGAGCATTTTTTTAAACTGCTTTGCCGTTTTTTTATATAGCAAGTGCAAATTACAAAAAAATTTATCATTTCATGGATGGTGGGGTGGAGAGAATGTGGGGTGGATCCCGCATTGCCGCCACCTAGTTGTGGTGAGTTATGGGTAATTTTAGAAAGAAATTAGCTGAATTAGCTGCAAAATAACTAGTCATACATATCTGAAAAGTTATTTTCTGAGGTCCATTTAATGACGTTCAGGCATTACTTCGGCTCTGCGTGAGATTTTTCCTAATTCTAAACGAAACGTCACAATTATTTCGCCCGAAGGCCATCGAATAACGAAAGATAGTTTTTTCACCCCACCTTAACATACCTTCGACAATAGAAAAATGTTTTTCAGATACGAGCAGAAGTTTAATGATTTTTCGGGAGCTTTAATCTACTGACTTTAGGGTCGTAGCAACTGAGGTGTGGTGGGTTAGTAATAATATTAGTTAGTAATAATATTTATACACCAATGAGAGATGTTTCTTGACATACACACATATGCATCCAGTTATTTACGTACCCCGTAGGAATTAGGAACACGTAATAATGCCTTACCAGCAACTCACTCTTCACCCGGCGGTCCATAGCACTGTCGTGATGAGTATGCCTTGCTTTAACAAAGGCGTGGCCGCCTTATGGAAGTAGGACTTTAGAATTTACCTCTGGTATCAGAGATACTTTTAAGCCGCCTTACCAAAAAAGGTACGGTGAACGTAGAGCAGTCGCTCGGAGTGGTTTGGCGTTCGCAAGTATCTTAACTATCGTAACTTACATTGTAAGTGTCATTGGAGTTCTTCATTTGGTAATTTTCTATTAGACTAGGAGGAGTACCAGTTACTGTCGAATTTCGACCGTTTTTCTATTTGTTTTAGACCCTTGAAGCTGTATACTTACTTAGCTTTGGAATTAAAACATGACTACATTTTTTTTATGCCTTTGAAAATCTTTGGAGGACTTTGGCAAAACTTGGAATTGACACGATACATATCGATTTTTAAATGAATTTCAAAAATTTTTATATCCGATAACTCAAAAAAAACTCGATAACTCGATTAATTTCGATAACTTGGAAATGTATATATCTCGACATAAATCAATAAGCAGTTAAAACTCGATAACTTATATGACCTTGAAATTTCGATAACTCGATATAGTTTGAAAATTCTAAAAACTTCGTTTCGATATATCAACAAGTTTCAATAAATCAATAAATATCAATAAAAACTTTCGATAACTAAATTTTTTATGACCTAATTTATTTCGATTCCTATCGAAAAATTTCAATAAAATCTCTCGTTGATTTCATTTTCGTCTTTATCTTCAATTCTGCCATCTCTTTAGTGTCTTAATCGTTCACATTTATTTCTTCATCATCACATTTATCTTTATTACGAAGCTACGTTTCAATTACGAAGTAAAAAAAATATGCGTAAACAACTCAAATTAAACAGGGTGCAACAACAACTACTTATATATCAATTACGGAAAATTTTAAACGACGACATTAGCCGTAATTTTTAACCAATTTTGAAACGATAAGATTTCTTCAGAATCAACCGAAAAATACATTTCCAACGGCGTTTTTGATTTTGAAATCGAAAACGAATGGTGACAGAATTTATGTTAGTCTATTACTTGTAGATAACATTACTCGTGGACCACGTGGACGAGTCGTGGTAACAATTTTGGTTCTAAAAGCTGAAAGAAGACATGTATATCACCACGTAAGGGTCTTAACCATTTTCCCAGTGGGTATGTAGGATATATCTACGTTTGCTCGTCAAAGAAGTAAATAAGCATGTCAGATACATACGTACTCACATATACATATGTACAATAAGTATGTACGTGCATACACAGCGATTAGAGTACACCAATAGAACATAGTATTTCTCATCTACTCGTATCAAATTTCCGTAACATCCTATACTTACATATATTTAAATATCGTAAGTATTTATATATGTATGTATGTAGGTGTGTATATAAAATGATTTTGTTTCTGTTAAGTTTCTCTTTACGCTTAAAACAGCCAACATGTATATGTACACCCTCATGCACACACACACACCACACGCACATACATAAAATGCACTTTTGTTCAACTTATCTCAAATATTGTCAATTTTTTTACCTTTCATTTTTTTTTTTTGCTTTCTTTTCATCTGATAGATTTCAATATGCAAGCAGAGGCTGCTATACCCGAGGATATTTTGGACCAACAACACATAGACGATGCCGATGCCATTGATGCGGCGGACAGTATGCAATATGTTGGTGAAGGCGATATGGATGGTTATTCGGCAGTTGAACCAGAAGCAGATATTGTAAGTGGAGTAAGGTCATAATCGCACAGAAAGCCATAAGCATCTAGTGGGTATACCATTTTGTTTAAACTAAATCGAATATGCACCCCAAATTCACTCAAAAGGTGGAAGAAGGAAAACAAGAATTTTACATTTTTTGCAAGCCGGTGGTTGTGTATTTACATACATACATATAACTATCTACATACACCATGCATATTTATGTAGGTACATACATATGGGCTTGCGCTCGTTGCTTGCGTTTTGTGCGTAAGATGCTTTACTTTAAGTATGATTGAATGAATGACTTTCCAAACTATAGTGTACTTGAACCAAGTTGTACACAGAATAACCACAAAAACTTGACACAGCTTATTTAAGAGGTGGCACACACATTTGCGCACAGTGTACTTGTGTGCTTATACACCGATGCTCCTGGTAGTGAGACATCAATTTCACATGGAATCTTAAATTTTCTGTCGTCCATAGAATCTATATATATTTACATTTTTTAATTTTTGTACGAAAAAAGATTATTAAATTGCAATACATACCTGACTGAAACCTACTACCGAATTGCTTAAATATTTCGAGCTTAGTACTAGCCATAAACTTTGTGCTTTCTTCTATGCAAAATCCTTGACCTTCAACCTTACCAACTGTTAAATTAATATCACTTTACATTTCATAATAATTTTCAATTTCATCTCTTAGAATTGCAACCGCACTGAAGTGTGACAATGTCGCTGCAAGTTGCCTGCTTTCCTTATTTCTCTACAATTTTCTCTCTTTAGGCCTTTCATTCATCCTGTTTTTTGTTCCATCAAGATCGGAGTACTTTTCAATTATATTGTCTAATTATAATTAATTATCGTTCGCTTAGCTACAGGATTGTTAGAAATTTGCCTACAGCGCGCGGTTCTTTTCGTCAAATCAATTAGCGTGAAGTAATTCTAAATCGACAGAAAACTCGACCGAATACGAAACGTTAAAGACCACTCCATGAAACCATGTCTATTTGTACATCCGCAAGATGACAATAATCAGGTAAAAAAATTAAGAATGCCACCACATATCGAATCATTCTCCTTTACTAGGTCACCGAAATTTTCCCGAGTAATTTACGGAAGTTAGACTATACCTCTACTCTCCATACGCATGACAGAAAGATATGTATGTAAAGATGCCACAGACCGAGATTTAGGGTCGACGGCCATCCAATGGATGATTCTATGCTAAACGACAGGGCAGTTTGCGAGATTTGCTGCAGTTATTTCACACTACTTAAACTTAAGTTTTCGTTTACCCGACCAATACAGCGTTTTTCAGACCTCTTACGACCTAATTTTAAACATTGCCAGGCTGCTACTAAATCTTTAAAATTCAATCGCACAACGTCCAAGGTAGCCGCTTAATGCAGAAAAGTTCTTAACCCGCAGACCCAGAAACCTCCCTTAATCGTTGTATGATTTTTTGGGTAAAGGGACGTCTCTAGTAAATCGATGACAAAAAAAGAGACAAAGTTTCAATGGTAAATTCAGCTCTTGAAGTTGTGATTTGCTTCATCGAAGAGGTAAACACCAGACGAGCTACGAATCCCACAAAACCAACGAAAAGTCGATAAAAAGCCATCTAAAGTTCTCACATGTCTAGAGCGCTCCTCTTTAAGGTTAATAGTTGTTGTACTAACCGGGCACTTCCGAATAAATTCAGCAAATGTTCTCCATTTTCTGCGCAATACAAAATGCTTTCGGTGAAACATTTTGTGAGGGAGGTTGGAATTCTTGCGCCAGTCGCATCTCAAAGCGGTTCACGTGCAACTCAAAAACTGGATGGCTGAAAAGTTTGCTCTTCACATCATATAGGACACAGGACACCGGAATATACCCGACAACGAAAAGACAGATGGACTGCAAAGAGGGTGCACATCCATTATACTTTCGTGCCCTACATAAATACGGGCATACATAGGTGTGTTGCTGTCGTCACTGACAACCACTTCAACCCAAACTAACATTGTGTTTATAACAAAATATTTACAAATATACGAATTTAATATTACTTTAGCTTTTACTATTCTTGATTGCATTGTTTATAGAACTATTCGGAGTAATCGATATTAAAGTTAATAAAAATCCTAGAAATTATTTTCTTAATTGCTTTCATATAGATTGTCAATAGAAAAGCTAAACTATACACAATTACGCCAATTTATGTATTTTACACAAATTCAGCCCAAAGTTAATATTTTTTGCAATGCAAAGGCGCAACCAACAAGCAACTATATAGAGCAAATGGATATGTATACAAACACACATACATAAGCACTTATATTTGCAGTTACCTACATAGCTAAAACCTATTGTCTAGCATAAGCATCTTAGCTATGAAAAGTTTATCATAGGAAAACCATACACCAAGTACTCAAAATAAAAACAAGGTAAAATAAAATAGAATAAAAGAATCAAAGTGCATGAGGCAAGAGAGCAGTCAGTTTCACAACTGTAATGCATGACAATGCAGCTAAAAAGTCGAATAATAGGAAATGCAATTCCATAACAACGGGAACAAAAACAATAGGGGTATTCTCAAAATCTCGCAAAGCCCTTGCGCGTAGCACCGATTGCACGGATTGCATAACTTGCAAACACACAACAATAAAATGCATGGAAAACCACATTTCGCTCAAAATATGCAACGTCGAAACCCATGTATTTATTTTGCACAAAAGCATAGCAAGATAAATGCGACCCTGTGCTGGTTGTTTAGTTGTTGAAATTGCTACATACATATTCCACTCATTTGCATTTTTTTGCTTTATCTTGTTTTTGTATTTGATACAGAGTTTCGCTGCTTGCTAACTATGCAAGCTACAATTTTTAGTATTTTTGCATTCCATACAATCCGTGCTATGCGCAAGACTTCGAGAATACCCCTAATATATATGTATGCACTGAGAGCAATGAAACGCTGAGGTGGAGAAAGTTTTCGTATACAAAAAAAAATCTAGAAGTTTGCTGCCAAATTTTTAACAATTCAATACAAAATACAAACAATGCGATGTTCTTAAGTTTGAACATTTTTGCGGAAAGAAATAGCTAAGAAGATGTAGAAAAGTTTCAAACTTAATTGAAAAATTAAAGCACATAGTAGGTTAAAAGAAAACTCTGTCTGAAAACGTGGCTACTAAGTTTAAAATTTTGATTCAAAACAAAATTCAGTAAGTTGCAGGGTTGGGCCCTTCAAAACGCTTTTCGATTTTTAATCCGTTATTAATTAAGAATTAATTAGTGATTTGATTCCTCGACCAAATTAAAAAAAAAATAATAATAAAAAAAAAAAATATTCGTCGGAAAAATAAAAAAAAAATATTTGCGATCTGATTCCTCGGACAAATAAAAGATTAAATTTATTTATGATTTGATTTAATTGATGAACTAAATAAAAAATAAATTTTATTTTCCGAAAATCCTGCTGCCGTTAGATACAAAAAAGTATTTTTAGTTGGAAAATCACGAATCAAATTGCTGTGCTCGACATATCAGATCAGAAATAAATTTATTTTTTTTTTTTTGCCGACGAATAAAATCCGAACTTAATTTTAGTTTGTATTTTTCGGACGACCCGATTACCAAATAAATTTTATACATGATTTGACCAATTAAAAATCATGCAACCCACGATTCTTGGGAGACCGCACTATGTTCGATTTTACAAAAAAAAAAACCTCTCGATACGGAGCAGTGATAATGAAATACAGGTAACTGCTTTTTAATGCTTTTGAGATGAAGAATTCAGAAACAATTTTCAAGTTGGATAAACAAATTACCGTTGACCTTTAAATAATCCTCAAGTAGAGAAGATTTTCAATTTTTTTCTTTTTTTTTTTGCCGTGAAAATGCAATGAACTTTTCAAACAGGTTTCAATACATATTTTTGCTTACATCAGGGAATATATTTCCATGGTCGCAACAACCGAAAAATGCAATTTTGAGCATTTTAAGTTCATTGAAAGCTGTGTTTGATTTAAAAAAAATACAAAAAAAATCTAAAATTTAGTTTGTAGGGTCATTTTTTATAGGTCTGATTGAATGAAGAACAATCTTGACCTAAAAACCGAACCTCCAAAAAAGAATTCTTTAATTTTTTTTTACCAACAAACCATTAAAATCTTTAAAATCTCCATATCCTTTGTATTATGAATAGTCCATTAAATTTATACTCACATCAGCTCTTTACTTACGCACGTTTTTCTTTCACTTTATTGAAATTTATGCAGATCCTAGCAGCGCAAAAGTTCGGCACTTCAGAAAGTAGTCGAGAAGAAGACGAAGAAGAATATCTCGGCCAAAATAACGGTGATGGCTACAACAAAGGCAAAACCAATAAAAACAAAAACGAACATTTAAGAAAAACTGTAAGAAAGCGAAATAACAAATTGAAAAGCGATGCAAACAATGGGGACAGCAACAAAAACAACAGAAAATATGATGACAACAGTGACAACACAGCTGTAAACATCGATCAAATGGATGAAGCCGATGGATCGGACCTTACAGATGAGGAGCCATTGGCGTTGCCCAGTACGCGTGTGGAGAAAAGTTTGAATTTGACGAGAAATCCAAAAGCACAAAAAAATCCCAAATTAATAGCAGCAGACGAAGGAAGTGAGGAAGAAACGACCTGGGATGTGACTGGTCAACATCTGCAATTTATTGAAAATTTAGTTGCAGAAAAATTTAATAAAGCGTCTGGGCAAACAACACCCACCACCAATGACAAAGCGAAAGAAAACAAATACACTTACAGTAACAACAACATAAAATATGGCGGTGATGACGACGACAATGGCAATGATGATAATAATGATGGTGATGATGCTGACAAGCAGCGCGAAAGCGACAAAAGCCACGCTAAATATAAAGGCAACATTATGAGCGAACAAGTAAACAATAAATCACAAATGGAGTACAGCGACGGTAATCAACCGGCGGAAACAGCGATCGGTGATATAGAGGACAAATTTCGTAATGAAGATGAAGATGCATTGCAGGCAGAACAACAGCCGCAACGACAACAGCGATGGCAACAGCAGCAACATAAAAATGTGGTAGCGCACGGAGAGAGCCGAGGCGAAAGTGAAAAGTTGCCACTCTCATTGATGGCTGAAAATGATGGCGAAGATGCGCAGCAAAAGGGTAAATTCGTTGGAAGGAAAATGAAGCGGCATGAACGAGCGCAAAGTGCCAGCCAAAGCAATGTTGATGATAACACCGACGACGACGAGGACGAGGACGACGACGACGACGATGGCAGCAAGAATAGCAAAAATCAACATAGTGATAACACCAACAACAACAACAACAGGCACCCACATAAGCGCCATCCGCAAAAGGAAAGTGAAGTTGTTGCAAACACGTACGCACAAATGGCAGCAATTGCAAAGAATGTTGCAAAGCCAAAAAATCAACAACAACAGCTACAACAAAAATATCAACAAGAAAATCTTTCTCAGCACATTGATGAAGTTGCTGACAGCAATGGCAGTAGCGGCAGTAGCAACAACAGTGGTGAAGAGGGTTCACAAGCCGATTACTCAATAACCTATTTTGGCATCTTGGCAAACAGCTCGAAGAAGGAGCGCGAAAAGGCGTTAGTAGTACAAGAACAAGAGGAAGAGCAAGCAGAACTGAGTGAGCTGCTGCCACTGAACACCTCTGAAAATTCGGCCAAAACAACAGACAGTTTTTCGAAAATTGCTGACAGCGATGATGCGGCTAGAAGCCGTGAACCAGTGCATGCAACAAGAAATCAACAGCAACAAAAACAACAGCAGCTGCAACAAAAGCTAGCGGGTAAGTGTTGACTTTAGAAGGCTTTGGCAAAGCAAATATGTATTTATATGCGTATATTTTTAAATGTGTGTACTTAGCTTGACTCTGAGGCAGTGCACGGACCTTACCACTTTATTGGTACCAAGTTTTTAACTGTATTTTATTTTCTACCATATTAAACAATGAATAAAATGAATAAAAAAAAAATTAAAAGTTAAAACTCAGCATAAGAAATTATGCAGGGGCTGAATCACCGCATGCGTGATCGAATCAAATTCAGATCGAAATCTTTTTTCAGGTTACGGCATTCGGTAGGGAGTTCGATTTTCAATTCAAAATGTATTTACGAGAAAACAGATATCATTTTTTTCATTCGATTCGAATAGTTTCATTCGATCACGGATGCCGTGATTCAGCCCCAGTTTTATGTATACGTTTTTTATTGAATGTTTTATTGGCTTGAAATAGATTTTTTTGTTGATTGTTTTTAAGGCCAGTGTTGAAATTTCCTATTGGGTCATTGGTAGAGATTTCCGGCCGGTATATTAAAAGGCAAACTGCGTTTCCTCTTTCTTCTACGCGTTTCGGCGTACTTCACGCCTTCATCAGGGAGTCTTTTTATTGTTTTATAAAAAACTACAACTTATCCCAAGGAGGATAAAATCAAAAATTACACTAACAAATTTTACGCAAAAAGGCAGTAAGAATCACAAGAAACACACCATTTTTGCATTGAGAACCACCGAGGCGAAAATCAAGCTGCTCGGATAACACTACCTTAAAAATTCCCCTTGATTTATCCTTTTTAAGTAAAAACTATTTAATATTGTTTCTTTAAAAAAAACTCTACCAACTGCCACCATTTTTTGTATGTAAAATCTACCACTATTAATTTTTTCGAAGTCCGTGCACTGTTCTGAAAGTACATGAATACATATAGGTGTATATGTGTATGAAGTTGTGCCAACATACTCGTCCATAAGCTGGCTGTTGGTGTTTACCCCAGCGTGTGAGTTTTAGTACTCTGTTGGTTTATTGTTTCTGCAAGTGTTGGCTGCGCGCAATCATGCCGAAGATGTTAGCTGCCTTTAAGCTACCCTCAATGTGTTTAATTTGGAATAATATTTAGACAACAATATTTGTTGATTGTAATCGGTATTTACGTATACTCGTACGTATAAATAGAAAGTGGAAAGTGTGTTGGCAAATTTATATATGCCGCAGGTTGTGGAGTGTTTAATCACTCGCTGTGATTTTGTTTTCCATTGCCGTATAATGATATAAGTGGGATAAGTAAAGTATTATAAAATTAAATTATCTGGTTAGCTGTCCTTGGTAGCGTGGAAAGACTATAAGACAAAGGAGACTGCTTATAATAAGTATTGATTACACTTCGGAGAATGTTTAGGGGTTTTTGGTAGGGTCTCAACCACAATATAATGCCAAAGCGCTAGATTCCTTAAAAAATATACAAAACCCAACAGGTTTTTCTTTTATGATTTTGTATTCTTATAGATATGCCTTCGTCTTCGTATTGGCCTTCGCAGTCGTATTCGTCTTTGAATTGGTATCCGTCTCCGTATTCGTGTTGGTGTTCATGTACATTCATGTTGGCCATTCTTACATTCTTTTGACCAGTATTCTTTTTTTATTTAATAATTAATATTTTTTTTATAAATGAGTAGCTCATTATACATATACACCTTGCGACAGTAAGAGCCAAATATAGTAAAATTTCATTTTTAGTTTTTCACTATGACGTCAGTAATTCAAAAATTATTTAAAAATTTCAGTGGAGTGTGCTTAGAGAGAATTATGGGTATGAAATTGAAAAGGGAATTCTGTATAATTTAAACGGATTCAATTTTTTGGTTTATAAGGACTGGTAAGTGTTGAAAATGTCCTTTTAAAATTTTATCCTTGAAATTTAGCAATATTTGTTTTTAAAAAAAATTATATGTTAAGGACTATTACTCTAAGATTATCAGCTTAAAAAATTACCTATTCGTCCTTGTGAATCCAAAAATTTT